GTTCACAAAGCAGTGGGCTCTTTCCACACCAGTGTCCCTGTTGCTGTGGACTGTGAGGGGTAAGGGAGAAGGCTGCTGGCCTTTGTGCCAGTTCGTGCGGGAATTGCAGGTAGAACAGTTTGCAAGTCAGGAAACTACATCTGGTGCCGCTGCCTGGAGGGTATTTTCGCAATCAGTCCACGTTGTTTCTGCCCGAGGCCAAGTCTGCTAAAGCCAGGAGGCTGGCTCTTCCCTGGGGAGGGAGGGCGTGGTGGGAGTGCAGGGGTGAATGAGGGCGCCCAGGTGCACATCCGGGATCTGGCCCTTCCTAACTGAACTAGGGGAGCTTCCCAGTTCCTCACCTGGGATGTGGGGGCTCGAGTTGCACCGTCTTTACAGCCTTGCTGTGAGGACTGGTTTGCTAATGCAGATGAAGGCTTGCAGGCCGGTGCTTGGTCCGCGGTAAGCACTAATAAATTAGCTTCGGAGCCCACTGTGGCTGGTGTTGATCCTGCTCTTCTGCATTCATTTAAGTGACTATGTTTAGAGATGTCTGAGTGTGTGAGACAGAAATTCCAAACTGAGGATTTGGTTTTGGTGAAAATAGGGGGAAGGCATTCAGGGGGATATAGAGGCCCCCAGTTTAGGGGCCTGAGTGGAGCGCTTGGTTGTCTGGAGTCTGCTTCCATGGAGGTCTGTGCAACGGTTCTGTACATTCTTCTGTGGAAACCTGTGTTCACCTTAGAGCAGTGATTTCTGAACCTGGCTGTGCCTCAGAACTTCCTGGGAGCTTGTAAATGACACAGGTCCAGTTCCAGACCCACCTTGTCTTGATCTGTATGCTGCGTCCGAGAATTTGCCTTGTAAAGACCTACCCTGGAGACGGCGCTGTGGTGCGTGGTACTGTCTGCATGCTGGGATTTGGGAACTGCTCACTGCACAGGTGACCCCCAGGCCGCAGTTACATGATTTTGTAACTTAGGTGTGTCAGCTGCACGGCTGACCTTCACCTGTAGACTGCCCGGCAGATGGAGTAACATTCTGACCAACGTCTGTCCTTTTCCTGGAGGAAATTAGATTCCTTAGAATTTAAGGTTGA